ATCACTATTAAATAATAAATTTCATTTGATTAGAAGCAATTACAAGATGTCAAAAACTCGAGCTGACATCTGGAGCACATAAATCCAGGTAGTTTAGGAATAGCCAATCTTTTTCAACCCGATAAACCCCTTCGAAGGCTGAAATTAATCGCGGCTATCGATTATCATATCACAACAGTAAAATTAATTGATAGGAGCTGGTGATAAATATGAACGTGGTATGCAGCAAAGTGGGCAAACCCCATAATCATCACAAGAGCTACTTAAATATGGAGATGGGATAACTCATCTAAAACGTAGCTTTTTGGTTCTGTGTTCGAACACAGAAGGATTTCAGTTTGAAAGAAAACATTGTGAAGACGTTTATTCCAAATTGTTGTGGGTTTCGGGTAAAAAATTGTAAATGAACATGACTTTTCCTCGGGCTTTATAAACAAATTACCCCGAATGGCTCGCCAAGTGAGTGATCGGATCTTTTGAGCAAGCAGCGGTCGAGCACACATCAGATTGCAGATGTGGAAAACAAGGCTTGTTATAAAAATTATAGACTAGAGTCAAGAGAGCGATTGTAGAGCTATTTGTAAGTGATGGAAGAGTTGAAAATAGGGAAGAATTAGCGAAACACGATCGGGCTTTACGATGAACCTCGTCAGACCGTAGCCTAGACAAAGATTGCATTTTGAAAAGTGTGAAAACGAAAATTTAACATGCTCAATCTAACCAAAGCTTAAATAACATTTACAAGGGTATCTGAAATCATAACATCAACATCCTGCCAAAATTGGAAGTCAACGATAACCAGTTTTGTCACTGTCAAGGTAACCATTTTTTGCGAATAGAGTGTGCGCGACGGAATTCTTTATAACTGACCCATTTTCATCGTAAAGCAGCATTCTGATTTTTAGTATTCGTGAAACTATTTTGGAATCGCAGAAAACGAGAGCGATATCTCGTTGTTTGTAAAATAACTCCTACGACAATTCTTTCACTCTCGTAGGCTTGTGTAGGCTATTCAAACGCAGTCTATAAAACAGGATTTACGGCCGTTTGTTAGATGTGTTTTCATGCGCTATTATACAATTACGGTCACAATTTTGTGATTCTTCTCAGCTAACTACAGAATTCAAGATTTCAAATGTGCTACACAAACTCTCTTGATGTTTCCTACGTTCCTGAAATTTCTCACCAACGCTTGTGGGTAGGTTCGTGAAATCTGGTGTGAGTATCTAGTATCTCCGCATCATATTATCGAACTCACTTGCAGAGTGGAATTTCAACTCAGGAGAGTTGATTTTTTGGCACGAAATGTGCCTTAAGAATGCGAGATGCTTTTTCAGTCGACTGATATTAAAGGAATTACGAAGAAAGTCACCTGGATATAAGACAGATCATTATTTCGCAGAACCAAAGCCATTCCGGAGGGGTAGTTCTTATAATCTTTTGGTAGTCAAATTCTCGATTGAGTCAATATACTAACCCCAAAAATTTTGGATTCCTTTGCATTCTTCTTTTGCATCGATCGGCCTCACAGGTAAAAATAAAATTTTGATCATCAGAATTACTTACAATTAATGCCTCTCTTTTCCCCCATTGGATATATAAGCACTTGAATCTTTTCGCAATAGAAATGACAGATAACACGTATTGTTTGGGGTAGGAGATAACATGTTGTTTAGTCTTCAGTTATTTTGCGTTTTTAGTTGTGTATGAATGTGAGGTGTGCCAGATTTCATCAAGTCTCCGTTTGAAAGATTCAACGGTTTGTACACAAAAGACGTAAGATGGAAAGGCGTTTCAAGAGTGGCACATCCTGAATGCAAAAGATCAACACCACCATTCCAGTCGACACTGGAATCAGTCACTTCAAACGATGTCCTCGAAAGTGTACGTTGGGTGACAATGTGTGCAGCGAATGACAGCGGTACTCAGTAGCATATAACCATAATGATTCGAATCTTTCCCCTTAGGTGAGGTATCACTATCCCTTGACTATCTTGCTGGCAATTGCTTTGGGAATCTGCAGTATCTTACGATCACGTTGTAGCCTTAAGCACTCTGCTTGGACGTCGTACTATGTATACCGTCCAATCTACATATAAATCATCTACCGCATCCCCTTCATCAACTGTTCTGGTCCATTCATCTCAAGCAGGAAAAAAGTTGGTGGGGCAGGATCGATCTTGCTTGGACACATACGTTGGCGAAATAATGTCACATCATTCTAAGTATTTTGTTAGGGAATCTACGGCAATTGACTCCATGACTTTAGATAGCATTGTCAGGACGGTTACAGGTTGGTAGTCCACGGGGTCACTGCGACAACCACCTTTGTATATGAGTGAAGTTATTCTTTGGTTCCACGATTACGGGATGGTTGATCACCCGTTGGAATAGAATGGCTAGTGGTTCGGATATGTGAGTTGTCAAAAAGATAAGGTATTTCGGGTGCATATTGTCCGCACTTGGGGTTGCATTTTTCGCAAAGCCATTAGTTTTATTTCGACGTTTTCAGCGGCAAATGTTGCGTTGGTCAGCGAGCTATATGGAAGATGCAGCCGATAAGGGAGCCGTAGACCTTTAACATTTGTTGCAGCAAAAGCTTTAGAATACTGAGCTTTCAGCATTTTTACTGCTTCTGTTGTGGTGGCTGCAACTCTCCCGTTGCAGCTTAGTGCCGGTATATCAAATTTAACTATCCGAATTGAGCTAATGTGCTTATACAACAGCGTTGGGTTAAAGATGAATCTCTGTTCTAGCGTACCTTGACACACCAGCTTATTCTCACGGACAAGATTGGTGCAGAGGTTTCTCAGCATGCTATATTTATTTCAGTTGACAACATCCGGAAGACGTTTATAATCTGGCCAGGATAGATCGCACTAAGAAATCCATTTCTTCATGCAAATTTGAATATGATTGCTTATTCATCATTCTGCCAGTAGATTTATTGCTGCTAATAGAAATAATTTTCAGTTAAATTGACCCCTGTCGATTTGATGTAATTGTTCTTCTTGGGATACAGAAGTTGGCTCTTTTCCTCCTCGGAAAATGTCCCACATATTCCGAATTATTATTTCCTAAACGAGAGCTTAGATTATTTGAAACCTTCCACCCGACTTTTGTTATTTTATAAATGTTTGGTAATCTTCCTTAAGATCATTCTTGGATTTCAGTTCCCCTTGCATCAATCTAGATAACCATGGACAGTGTGGCCTGTTCCCCTTTCCTTAAACTTAAGGTGAAGTTAGTAATTTAATTTGATCGTCTGTGTAAGCTAACTTCACAAACTAGTCACAGACAGGGCACTGCTCCAAACACTGGCGATTTGGCCCACTGAATAAACCATTATATACCCCTTTGGATCAGTGTCCTGGGATGCTTCAAAACGCAGTTTACTTGCTTAAGAAACATTTCCTGGGATAAGGTGGTTTGTCCGTATGAAAGTTTTGGCTCTAATCCAAATCCCACACCGTGATGAGACCGGGAAGAAGAGCACCCCATTCTATGATACTTCTTATGAATTTCAGAAAAGCGGGGGTGCGTCCATCCCATTTTTTGCACGGCATTTTTAGAATAAAGCGCTCATTTTCAACCAATTTGGCATCATCTAGTTTCATTATTTTTCAAATCCATAAGTACTACCACCCATCTGAATTTGATGGAAACATCTTCAAAAAGTGTTCATCTGTACCGATGGTGAAACTTGACGAAAAGATAAAAGCTTCGTTTGAACTAGATACTTCTTCAGTAGAAAAGGCTCGGTACCGGTTTTTCATGAATTTTCAGTGTTGCTCTGTATCTGTATTGCTCTGTGATCGCCTTTCGCGTATACAAACAGTCGTAAGCTTCTCTCCACGCAACACTATTTCACTGGACACACGTACGCATGCATGCATACACACACATACACACAGCAACAAAGTCATTTTCTGACCTGCTACACTTTCATCTATCGATCGTGCATGAACGTGACTTTAAAGTAATTAGCGTGCTGACCCGGTCATATCGATTCGACTCAAAAATATGTACATCGTTATTCTGGTTAGTCGAACTATACTTCCACGATTCACTGAAAACTTGACTCTGCCTGGAAATCTTTTATTTGATATCTTCCGCGAGATTCCTCTCACTCTCAACAAAATTCAATAACTACAAAGCTCTTGCACTCCGGATGTGCTAACCGTTGCTATATAAGAACTATTCCCTGTTCAATGATGGTCGATACCATTAGCAAGTAAACCCTTGTGCTCACGTATCGGCTCAAAAAATGAGCTCTTTGACTTGCTGATTGGATTCCAGTTCAGGGTAGATCACATTTTTCATTTTCCGAAAACCTGAGGTGTTTAATTTGTGTTATAGTGTTCCCATATCATTTGTCATACACAGAGAGATTGTGTTTAGGATAACTAGCAACTTCCACGTCTAGGGAAAGGAAGCAAACCACTTGATCGTCTACTTTTTTGATCGTTTGCAAAAGTTTCAGTATTCCCCAAAGATAAATATATACATATAATAAACAGTTTTTCTTGCAGTACACCATCGTTTAATTCGGAGAAGAAAGATTGCATAGGAAACTACGAATAGTATTTAAAACCGTTTTAGGCATAATAGTTTGTCTCACAGGACGTTAATCTATGCACAACCACAAACATAACGTTTTATATCTGAATAATGAACTTTTACCTCCCATACTTATTCGCACTTGCATCACTGATCTTCAACCTGTGCACGTCTCGTCAGTCTGATCCGTCCCCACCGTATACTCACCAGTCGGCAATGCTTGTGACTAACCACATCCTGACGCGCTCTAAAATATCTATTGATTCTTGACCCTGCTCGCTATTGTCATCGCTTTCGCCTGCACTCAGCTCACCCAAATCGGTGTTCACGTGGTGTATACACGCGTATTTAACCCAAGGAAAGAAGTTTGAGCAAACGGTAAGCTAGAAGTGTTTGCTCGCGTGTGCTTGTCTATTCGATACTGACCCTTTCGTGGCGCAATGCAATTGGATTCGTCATTAAAACGAGTGGAACTTCATGTACATCTGGACGGATCACCCAGGCCAAATACCATATTTGAACTAGCCCAAAGAAAAGGAATCAAGCTATCGTTTGCAAATTCTGTTGCACTTGAAAATGCACTGCAGCCGAAAGAACCATACTATCTGGGCCACTTCTTACGATCCTTTGAGTATATTTTGCCCGTTTTTGAAGGTGATAAGGTGAGAAGTATTTTACTCATTTGCATTTAGCATCAAATAATTCGAGACTTACTTTGTATTACTATTCTGAGTTATTATTTTGCATTATTGTATTCTGATTACTAATACATCTGCCATCGATTTGATTCGTTTCGTTTCGCCCAACCCCTGATACTGAGTGTTAATTTCTTAATTTCGATTACGGCCATTTGGCTTTAAGTTACAGCAATCAGTAACGGAAATGCTGTTTTTTAGCAAATTAAAATGGATTTGTGTGAAGAATAAATTAATGCACAACCGCCGCTGGTTACGGCACTCAATCAGGTTTCCCAACCGTGGATAGAGTTGATTTCTGTCACTGAAATAGGCTTGTAAGACGACCTTGTTAGGAAATACCAATGATCCAGAATTTCATATCCTCAGGCCAGGTCATAACCTAACCACTACTGACACTCAAACAACGCATGCATTGGCAAACAACACACGCGGAGACAGCCACCGAAACCAATGGTAGTCAAGCACGTGTGAAATTGCGCGACCGTGAATACTTAATGCTACACGTGTAACCTCAGCAATCGTTGACTGATTATATCGCCAAACTCGTCGAATTAGCCGCAGACAGCAGAGAGCAAAGCGCAGCAATCATATTCAACTTCTAACCATTACAGTCATATTCCAATACCGTAAAGCATTGCCAATGGGATTACTATAGCACACAATCCACGGGGAAAATTCATGTAACTGCAATACCAAAAAGAAAATTCGGTTGACAAATACCAGCCGATCTCAGCCTGTAAGTGGGAAGCCACTTAGTGGTAATGCACGAATAATAAACTGCCGTCCAAAGACTACGGATTGCACCACCCAATGATTCTGTCACTTGTTCTCCGGACGGTGCAACTTGATCTGTACCACGTTTATACACGTGAAAAATTCCTACTTCAGAACAGAAATAAGTAGTTCAGTTCAGTTCAGTTCAGTTCAGTTCAGTTCAGTTCAGTTCAGTTTTTACTACCAGTAACCATGCACTTTCGTGCGCCGGTTTTAGTTACTGTCTTTTGGTGCTCCATTTGAATAAAAGAACAGAATGAAGAAGATTGGAATGTTGAAAGTAAATTCAATCGGAAGATGGAAAATTCATATAGAATGGTGTTAGGGGAATAATGAATGGATGCACGAGCGCCACTGTTTGCGACATCCAGCCATTTCACTCAGTGTATCTGACCATCGGTGACCGTCATCCCGAGGTCCCCAGTCAGGGAGCCTAACGGGGTCTATGTAACCTAGTCTCCTGGTTAGGGTTTTCATACCCTCACGCCAGGTCTGAGCTTGACCACCCTTGGCCTTTTTCCAACCGCTATCTGTCTCAGCATACATTGCTCGCCTAGACACTAGTTGGTGACGCGTAAAACGTGCCCCAACCAGCGTAATCTATGGAGGTCGATCACTTGCTCCAGTGGACGACCACAACTGCCTAAAACTCTACGCCTAACCTCAGCATTGCTTGTAAATGTTTAGATGTCCTAGCACCGGATGTTCTATATTAGTCAGGCTTTCAAAAACAGCAAACTTTACCGCATTAGCCAAACTCCTGTGCACCCCTTGTAGTATGACACGCTTGCACATTATCTGACCCGTGAGTGTGCTGTATTCAGTCAGTGAATTAAACATAGAAGACGAATACATTTACGCGCTTAAGTTTGTATATCACCTTCCACCTTGTTCCTGTGACACCAACAATCTCGTCTGTTCAAGTAGAGTTTACATGGTATGATTGTGACATACTAAATGGTCTATAACGCAGTTGATTTCTGAAACTTCTAAATCTGAGAAACTTACACTAGGAGATACTTGTACCTACACAATTCACGTGAATCTCACAACTAGGACTGCTCTGTTTGATTTGTTGACATCGCCTACGTTTTGCTGGTGTAAAATTATCCTCCTGTGGATAGCACAAATTTATATGCGCAACAGCAAAATCTTTCGGTTATCAATCTGTAAGACCCACAAAGAAAAAATCACAAAGCCGAAGTGGAAGAAATAAAAGAAGACTGAATGATAATAAACTAGATCCTCATAACGGTTGCGAATGTTATTGTTAATGACAAAAGCATACCACGCAGTACTTCTACATATATGACTAGGCCGATCATGGGGGCACTATTTCGGAGAGCTGAAAAGATGAATGTTACTAATCTCAGGAGCCAAGGTTTTATATTTGCCAGCTAGACCAATGTCAAACTCTCCTCCTCCTTAGACACCGTTTCTGTATTTCTCTCTGAAACTATGGGTATTTTGGCGCCGCATCTGTTATTTTTGGTGTTATATTTATGCATCTTCATGTGTCTGACTGTGTTTTCTTTAATTTACCGCTACAGAAAAATGCGTTCTAATATATAAAATGCAATTTGAGTGAGAGTCAATGACAAGGGGAATAATGCGATTTAAAAGGTCACCAAAAGAACATAAATGCATGACTTTGCACCAATAAATTGGAGGAAGGAGATTATGCAATGTATACCTGTAGACATTTTCGACGATTTCAAAGTCTCAATTAATAATGTTATTTAAGTTGTAAAGGAAATTTATCTTAAAACATTTATTTTTCTTTCATCTGCCCTCCCGAGAAGGAAGCAATAGCTCGTCTGAGCGAAGAATTTGTAGAGGATTGTAAAATCCGAAGTAATTTGTGCTACGTGGAGACCCGATTTTCGCCTCATTCGTTAGCGGGGAACAGAATGAGTGCAGATGAAGCAACCACCGTCGTGCTGGAAGCTCTTACACGCGCCGCTGTTAAACACAATGTTCAAGTTCGTCTAATTTTGTGCATTTTGCGCGATAAACCGGAGAATGCGTTTGAGGTTTTGGATTTGGCACGAAAATATCGTCCACACGGTGTGGTAGGTATCGATCTGGCCGGTAAGTTTTAGACCGTCAACATCAGTACACGGACTGTAAGAGTTGACAAACTTCTAGAACTAGGTAGTTTCCGTTTAACCCGTAATAAACATAGAGCACTGGGCAATTAATTTCTGAAACGAATTGTACCATTTTTCAAAAATTATAGTCAGTGTAAACTAGCTGTAGAGTGGATAGTCAAACATCATTAGTTTTAATACACCCTTTCTATGAAAAATCCCTCTATACCTTTTCAACTTCAAGTGAAACCGCATGAAACTGCATGTAAATTCAACCAACCGCATGACAAGGTAACCCCACAAGATGATTCGTGCTTCGGCCGTCCAACATCACCGATTGGACCGGGTCTGACTAAAACCCCATTCAGTCCGAATAAACTAATTTCTCCATAAACAAAAAGGTTACCGAGTGAGGGTTTAAGTCTTTATGGTTGGGGTCAGACCAACCGTCTGACCCCTTTNCCCCCCCCCCCCAACACCACCCGGGAAACGGTATGCCCTAGAGTGTTGATCGAGTGAGCTCGTAGGCGGGAAAGAACTAATCCGACGATAATTGACCTCAACCGCTGTGAAAATTTGGATCGTGACAAGGTGGGTCGATGTTGCGATGGCTACAAATAAGTGTGACAGTGGTCATGATCTGTTGCGTAACCCAATGTGCTAGTTCCACGGGATCATTTGGTGTTGGCACTTCAAGAGCTGCCCGACTTGATTTGCCTTTACTCATCACATGCCATGAAAAACACTACCTACCGAGGGGTTGCTTCTGTATGCAAGGTGGAAAACCAGTCTACTGTAATGGTAAATGTGCGTTAAATTCTACAAAATTTCTCACGTTCCCGGCATATGGACTTCAACAATGTTATAACCTTGTGAGTTATATCTCCCGGTCGCAAAAACGTTCAGCGAAGGAAACAAAGAATTAACCATCCATTATATTAAAATTTAATCGTTTTGGTAGCCGGCTGATAATGAGCACGAACACGGTTAGATGTATGCTGGCAATGATCCTTCGTGATGTGAGACTTTGCATCACTAGTGAAGCTTTCCAAACATGCCATTCTCAAATCGTTTTGGTTCACTCGTCCTTCAGGATTATTCACCATGAGCTTGGCATGTTGATTTCGGAGTTCCGTTTTGATGTAGCTTTATGTGGTGACCCATATCATTTATATCGGATTCAACCATGGAGTATCCTANNGGGGGGGGGGTGGAATCTGACGATGCTCCTCCGGCGACCGCGTCTTCCCGTTCTGAGTGACAGGGCGCATTATCAGGCACACATTCACATACGTTTTCTGCTCTTCTTGGAATAATTATTTGACAGGAATTTGCAACCATTGCAGGCACAATTCGAGGTTGAAGGGTCTTCTTTTCGGATTATAGTCCAATAACCTGTCAGCATTCATGGACAAATAAACTATTGAAAAGAAATTTCAGTTGCGCCTCCTTTACGCTTTTGCTCGATCATACTGTGTCAACTATCAATGAGTTTTCTTAACTGAAAGGTCCATTCACGCACTTCTTGAGTCATCTATGTATCCGTTGCGGAAAGCCGGAAAGCTCGTTAAGGACCACTTAGAGTCAGTCAAACCTTAGAGAATGAACCTAACGAACGACGAAAAACACATTTGGACGGGTTGAATGCATCAGGTTTGAGTTTTCGCGAACAAATCAACTTATTCAATCCGATAAAATATAAACTGGTCCGTTCATCTGAGAAAAAAATGTATCGAGTTTTCTACAAACCAGATTTGTTCAGAATGAGATAATTTTATTCTGGAAGACGCCAGGAGGAGTAAAGCAATAATACGAAAAGGGTTGTGTCTTCAAACGCCCAGCTCAGCTGAGTTCAGAGTAGAAAAAATATCACTGCTGTCTACCTCTTTGATAGGTTGCTCGTTTACACAATCTTTCGTGGTACCATCCATCCGGGAAACTTGTTGAACAGTGGCATCCGCCCTGTCATTGGATCTTTTCTCTTATCCGAAATTCAGTGCTACCGCGGATGCCACTCTGTAACATATTTTCCGGAGGCAACTCTTCCTCAGGAATAAGAAAGTCATCGATTAATATTAAGGCGACCGTGCGTAGAATACTTTACCTAACCTAATTTAACACCTCATGGAGCACCCAGTACATAGTTATCATTGTTTGTGAGATCATGGAACAATGTAACTCATTCTTATTACCACCTGCCTCATTCACTACAGATGCAATCAGGGTGTGAAAAGATGCGACGGGTTGATCAATAATGCAATAAGGAGAAGAAATTACGTAATGAAGCTGAGCAGCGAAGGTAGAAGGTGCAGGTGAGAGATGGTTGTCACTGACATTGTGGAAATTATAGAGAAAAAGTGTGATATCTGTTAGCTGATAAATACGTTTGAATTTGGTCATACTGTTCATGTAAAAAAACCTGGTAAGTTTTTCCTTGCAACTTTGCCAATTATTTTGTCAAGCGTGCCTTTCAATGCCAAAAAAGATGTAGGCAATTGCATTTGGGTCAAAGGAAAACGGTGCTTTCAGTAAAACCTTTGCCTCAATGGAATTGAGTCACTAGGCTATTGAGGGCCTAAACTGAACTCACTCATGCGATGTTTCGTTCCATCATTCGCTTCTGAGCATGGTGGCCGATTTATTTATCCACCTTGAAGTGAATCGCTCCCCTACCCCGTTGACCGAAGTCAATTATCATTGGGTTCGTTCATTCGAGTTTGCGAAGACTACTCGATCAACGGTATCGGATATAACGTTCCGGGGTGGGGTGGGGGGGGGAGGGGCGAACGACCAAATTTCACCACATCCCAACCCACCGAATCATTCTTCCTCACTCGGTAATTCACTCAAAAAGTACTTTTGTTTGTTTTCGGAGAACTCAGTTCATTTGAACATGACAAAGTTTAGACATACCCGGCCCAATCGGTAAATTTTGGCGGCCGAAGCATCAATCATCTTGTGGGGTTCCTTTGGAATGCGATTGATTGGATTTACACGAAGTTACTACAGATTCACTTGGGGTTACAATGGTTTAACTTGAAGTTGCAAATAATGATTGGATGTCAGAAGCATTTTCAGAAATCTGCATAGCAAATGCTCATCAGTTATAACAGTATAATATATTGCTGCCTTTGTTCAATCAAAATAGAAAATGAAGGATATACTTGGAAAAGGGAATGGTATACCAGTTGATTACCCGTTGGGGTAGTGCATTAAAAACTGCATTGTAAAACGGGTGACTTGCTTGACGGAACGTGGAACGAAACGTCACTGCAACAGCAGAATTCTCAGTTTACCTATTATCTTTCTAATGAAACCGAACCTCAAATCTGGTTCTTCATGACTCAACTCGTTAAGCTCAGTGGTTCAGTGGATAAACGAAAGAACTTGTGTGAACGTGAATTCTACGTAATCGTAAATCAAATCAATAGAAAAATTTATTATGCATCATTAGTCACAAGTTATTCTGGTGCATAATATCTCATGAGTTGACGACATAAGTTGACTGGAACATGTCAGCCGTAGATCGGGTGTGTAGTACCTCTTCTCTAGTGTTTGAAGGTAGTAAAGGCAGAGTTCCTAATCCTTTAGTGATAATATTTCTACTCTACTGCGGCGGGCTCCTTGGATAGGATTAGTCGGCTCCAGACATGATCATGATCATGAAGTTCCTTGAGAGTTTGGTACGAGAGGCGTCCCTAGCGTCACTTGACGTTTTTTATTTTGAGGGCACACCTCTAGCCTTTGAACAACCAACAACAACAAGTGAGGGGGTCAATGACTTTACTTTTAAGGGACAGTCACATCGACCTTTCTCAGGACACCATCATTGGGCTTTTAAACGGGAGCCAGGTGACCAGCCTGAAACCCACCACAACCTGGTGGTGCCAGTTTTGTTCACGAGTGCTCATTTGTTGCGGTATGCCACAAATTATTCACAGCTAACCTTCTTCCGTGAAGATATCCCCTCTATCCACAACTCGGAGACTCACCTGGTAGCATTCAGCTTTGCTTAGCCCGAGGATTCAAATTAGAGGTTATTTACGAATTTGTATGCATGAAGACATTTTCTTCAATAGAAAAGAAAAATTATCAGTTTGCCGAGTGGCCCACTGTTCAAATTGAGCTAAACTCAGTGGGCGTTACGCATTGGTCGAAAGATATCAAAACCGTTTATTGAAAGCACGTCTTTCTGCTGACGAAAAGAGTTTTTTTATAAAATTCACAGCTTTAAATGTCATTAGTTTTCAATAACTTAAAAAATTATAGGGTTTTAAGGCGATTGTTGATTAGAAGTTTAAAGTGGCTCAGTTTATACTACATGGAACTCAAAGATGAACCTCCCTGGTATGCTTTAAATGAGATGAATCCACAGGGGTTTGTAACTAGCTCATACAACCGCACGATTTTACACTCCTATTCCTCATTCGTTATTATAAGTAGTTATTGCAAAGTAGTTCTGATACGGTATTATCAGGCATTACTTTAACTTTATAAGCATCAAGTGACTAATTCGACAGACTGCAAAAATCAGCCGTCATTATACCATTGGACCTGTTTTAGGCTTTACTACAAACCAGATTCTATAGACTGCATGCCAGCTGATTTCCCGAATACATTGGGGAAATATGTAGAATGTCTTCAAGCAATCAACTGACGGTCAAGAAGTTAGTTGCAAATGGCCTTTCTACTTGTCCAAAACCATATGTCCCAGCAAATACAGAATCCGGTGTACAGCAGTCTGTTTTATAGTTTTTCCATGAGCTTTTTTCTTATTTATAATAAGATTTCCTCTAAATAACCATTCTGATTAGGGTTTATTGTAATAGCCCTACAGAGTGTCTATTGTCTTCTACTAAATCCTCAACTGAAGCTATGAAATAACAAAGGAACATCCCAAAAAGCAGCTAAAATATAGGAAATCAGCACTCTAACAACCCTATTTTTAAATGATCTGCCTTTATTTTCAAATACTGCAAGATGAACACTACGAAACATGCTACTTTCTCTCTCGCGAATGAACTTAAAAACCAGTTAATCACAAACGAGGTGCAGAAGTGATCAGATGAAGATAAAACAGTAGACGTTGGGTTTAGTGTGCAGTTCTTCTCCAAAAAGAACTGTGCTCATCCTTGTAATTTGTTTATTGAAGGCTTTCAGCAGAATTGGCAAAATTCACAATTGTCCACGAATTTTGTAGTGTAGATCAGACTGAATTGAGGGATTTCAGTGCAGCGGCCGTATAATGTTCGAAATTTGGCCAATGACCAAGACTTTATGAGCATCCTTAATTGAGCAAAGTGACTGAAATGCCGCTCTTATGGGTTGTCTAAACATCGAGCTAATTCCAATTTATAGCAAATACATAAAATTGCAGTACAGCCTAATGGCACAGCCTAAAATAGCATGGTGTTGGAAAATAAAGACCCCTAGAGAGTTTTTTGCACAATAATTACTTGTACTTGATGTACCATTGGGAAACGGAAATACAAAAATAGAGGTTTATCGGCGCCACACCGATTATAATGTAAAATAGCATTCTATCGACTAGTGCTCGTGATGCATTATTTTTTTTGTATTAGGCATCCCGACTACCAGGTGTACAAACTACCTTACGGTTTCCCTAATTTTCACAGTGAATTAGAACGCATTATTTGGACGCCCATTGTGGCTCATCATAAATCTCATCCAGAAAACATTTCTCACATTCAACGCTCACTGACAACCACATGCAATAAAGGACTATAATAATCGGTCGATATATATATATATAATGTATTTATTATCCTCATTCAACTTGTTCCATTACAGAACGCATTGTTTACTTTTTGTCGGAAAGAGTCATTGAAGAATAGACCAGTGATCTGAATTTGTTTGTATCAAGACTGTTAAGTGAATGTAGAATGTTTGATTTGCAATGTGCAGCGGTATATCCACAGGAACGGCTCAACATGCAGTCGAATGTGAGCTAATCTTGTGCGCAAATGAAAAACCTAATAAATACGATGGTTCTCGGTGAAGGATGTTTACCGCCATTCTGAAACAGACGAAAAACAAACGCACACAAACCAGAGTGTCAGTTCAATAAAAGCAAAACAAGCAAGACACAACGATGCTCATAACAAGAAGCAAAATTTACTACTAGCAAATGAATAAGTAAAATTCCATAGGCTAGTTCACCAAAAATGACAAACACATTGAAACAGGCAGTTGTCCCCTGGTTGCTTCTGTACATTACAAACAACTTTTTTCCCCGAGGAACATAAATAGGGAATACAGCAAGTTCAGGTGGCGGTAGTGGCCCGGTGATAGCATCAGATTACCACCTCGGGGGACGTGTGTTCGAACCACATCGCCTGACTTTCCCCATGGCAGCCCTTTGATTGGCCGCTTCTCCCTTCCTGAAAATTGTATCATTGTGTATTTAATAAAAGGAATTAGAATTAAAAAGGAAAGAAAGAAAACAATTTGTATTCCGATATATTTCATTGTATCCATTCAGATGCATATGACAGATTATGTTATATGAATGATCAGAAAAAATGATAAAACTTTTCAGTACTTAGTCCAAAATCGCCATGGTTTTTACTCTTTTCTTTCATTTCATTTTCATTTTACTTCCTTTTATTGAACATACAAAGATACGATTTTCAGGAATGGGGAAGCGGCCAAGCCAAAGGGCGGTCACTCAACAAAGAAAATGGGGGTTAAGGCGGTAGTTAATGGGATTCGAACACACATCCCCGGGGTAATAACTTGGAGATGTTACCACCGGGCCACCACCGCCCGCCAAGGATACGAATATCTCCCTTCTTTTCGCAAAAACTAAGCTTCCATCCTTGAATAGCAATTGGCTCACCAAATTGTAGTTCAGCCGATCCGATGCTTTATCTCAAGCAACTGGCGTGTGATGGAAGAGCAGTATATGAATGACATGACAAAATGTCTCAGAAAGCATTCAACGGGTTTTGTGGTTCTTGCCGCTCATCGAATCGATCGTGTGCTTCCACGGAAATTTTTTGGGAGTCATTTATATGTTACTTATTGCAAAACATTAGAAAAAATACATGGGTCAAGTTTTTACCATTATTAGTCTATAATACGCCTAGAAACAACAAATCAGTGTTAAGTTATAAAAGGACTGGTTCCGAAAAAGCTGTTCACACAAATTTACCCGATGTTGAAAATGAAGTTATTGCGGTAAAAATAATATTCCTGGGTACAAGTATATGCATGAAGTGACAAACGATTACCGGATAAGCATGCTTGACGAACATCAAGAACAGCGAAACCGTTCCTGTAATTCTAGTGAGGTTTCTTCTAGTCGTATACTACTAATTGCACTGGCCTGACCATGTATGTTTGCCGTATAAATTTCAGCCTACACTACCTTATTGACTTCTCGTTACCAACAAATCCAGGAATGTGAAGCTGTTGTCACGTCCGTTGCCGACAGAGAGTTTCGTTTTTCGGAGGATGATACTGAGTTTGTGGGGGAATTTGATTCAGTCCTGCTCAAAGTTATGGATTGCAAGGATATGATTGACAAATCTTCTGTAGAACTGTGTTTCGCTGTTGCATCGCTCAGTTTATTTTCAATTTTGCTACAAGTTCCCATGAAAAAACGTTTAACCTGACAAAAGTAAACGCCTTGAAACTTGGACCATGTGTTTTAAACGAACCTCATGATAAAGCGCTTCAGATCCACCACTGAAACTTTCATATGGATAACTTTTGGTAATTAAAATCACAAACGAAATACACTGTTTCGAGATATGTTGAACAGTGATATCACATCCATGATGGATAAATGAGTCTTTATTATCCCCGTTGACGAGGGACTATTAACAACTGGAAACTATCATTAATACGATAGCTCGCCAGCGACTAGCTTTCGGATTGTGACCGACCATTTTGTTTGCCAATCTGAAGGTGAGTTGGGGATTGATAAAATGAGTCATACAGGGTTCCCGAGTTTGCGTAACTTGGATAGACTTTGAACCTGGACTAGCTTTCTTCCACGAAGTTTGAAATGTTTCATGTTGAACTCATCAATGAATCTCCTTCAGCTAATAGTTACTTCTTGTGAGTAGATTTTTTCTAGGCTTTTGAAAATGCTTTTCTGTCTTAAATTTGAATGAACAACACGAGTAAAACTTAGATACGTTTGCCAGGATGAACTCCATTTTATCTAGGTAGTTTATTTTGGTCATTATGAGGACTCCAGATTCTTTCCAGAGTTAATAAGAGATGATATCACTTTTGTGGTTTTGTGAGATTACCATTTTGAAGTCTTCTCTTGGAGGTAGAGCGCATTCATAACGACGTTTTAGATCAACAAGTGTTGCTTTTAAGCATGTTTTTACATCTTTTGAAGTCAGACTTAATGGTGACAACTGGACGAAACTCCAAAATCAATGTATGTTTACTGCAGTTTGCTGAAACAATTACTCTTCAGAGACGGAAGTCTGGTTAGTGCAAAAAACACGGGAGGTATTGGTTACTTTGGCGTCGAGTTGGTAATAACTATGATAATTGTGAACTTAGTACCGGTACTCTTATTCATTTGTTTTGATCTTTCGTGTATTTATCGACGACGATTTTACCCCCTGGAGCTTTTGAATCGATTGGATTTCTTAAAAGTCATCATTGTAATAAGTAATAAAATCCTCCTTCTAATTCGGCTTGTATATGCGTACAGGTGATGAAGGCAAATGGATGACAACCAAGTTTTCAGATGAGATTGTCCAAGTGTTTGAACACGCCAAATCAGAAGGTATTCATCGGACTGTTCATGCGGGTGAGAATGGACCGGCTTGTGCCGTCGAAAACGCAGTTAAACAGTTGCACGCCGAAAGAATCGGACATGGTTACAGTGTGTTAAACGATGTTCATATCCTCGACTTCGTAAAACAGAAGAATATACACTTTGAGGTGAATTGTTCGTCTTTAAACTCTTCAAATTATTTTTTTGCAGTTAAAAATAATATGATTCAAATTATCATTCGTAAAACAATCCGTTCTGCTGAAAAGACATATTTACCCCTGTTATAGTAAGGATTTTAAATGATTACCCTTGGCTGCATCTGTAGAATCGTATTCGTAATTAAAACAGCGGGGCGCGAAAATTATTGACCATTTGTTTAACTACTCATGAGTAGTAAGCTCGACACAAAAATTGTTTTGTCAATCAGGGATTTTTCTAATTATATGCAAGAAATTACCGAAAAATTATGGTCGTTTATCCAAAACGACTGCTTGCACATTTTAGTCTGTCTCATCTTTTATGTTGATGCCTACTTCGTTTTATTGTTGGAATTCTGCGCTTTACTCTGAGTTACTCTAGTCAACTTTCTTCAATGGAACGTGTATCATTATCACGTGTAGAGGACAAATGAAGTCATTTGGCTTTCAGGCACTATACTTATGGCACTTCACATGAGCCACTCCTAAACACTCACCCGCAGTGTGTTAAAACGATTCATGAATCATTTTGGTTTAGTTCTGATTAAAACGAAAGAAACAAAGATATATGTGGACATCATGTACACCGATTTTGAAAAAAAACACTGGATTCTCCATATTTGCCGATTTCTTCAACTGGAACACATGTTACAAATTTCATTTCATGTGACACTTTGGCATTCAGTGCTCGGGAGGAGTGAAAATATTCAATACCAAGCATTTTTTATTTCATGACAAGTATGACGTGCAATATTGAGATAAGCTTTATTATCAAAAGTATCAAAAGTAAAACTGCTTGTGCAGTGGTGACTCGGAGACCCTAAATATTTATATTCCTAAAGGTCCAAGTTCACGTTTCAATTCTATTACTGCAGACACAAGAATTTATCAAACATTACAATTCTTCAATATGGACTTGTTATACGAAACTAATGAATTGCATTTTATGGAACATGATGGGGATGAGGATGCACCAACACAGTGAATTCCGCATTTTAATTGAAAAAATAGCATTCTTGCGTAACCTTGTTATGTTCTTTTCCCTGCCCCAGCACTGCTTTACTACTGTTACACTTCTGCGTGGGATTTCTGAACGATGCTAAACGAAGTGACTCCGCCTTAATTTGATCATTATGGCTGTATAAATTTTGCGTGAGATATTACCGGTCCTTTTTAATGTAGACTTACCACTTTTCCTCATATCATTCTTAGCTATGCCCAACATCAAGCCTAATGACCGGTGCCGCTAAACGAGGATCCGTACACCCTTTGCATCATTTTGCTTCAGCCGGTATGAACTACTCAATAAATACAGATGATCCAACGATAACGGGTCGATGGTTGGATCAGGAACTGCAATTTTGTGTTGACGGCCTTTCTGTGAGTGCGGATCTACAAGAAGCCCAAATCAATGCTGCCCAAGCTGCATTTTTGGACGTCGAAGAAGATCGAGAAGCGCTAGTGAATCACGTTCGAAACCGCATTTGAATATTCGGCTGTTCAATCAAAAATGCTTTTCGTTCTTTTCACTTCATTGATTTTTAGTATTTCTGATCTCCGTTTTTCCGTCTTATGTGAAAAGATACCCAATCCTAATGGTTATTCCAAGAAAAATAGATTATTTCTCTATTAACTGCGTTATTCCTCTCGTGGTCCTAACCTCATTCATCACTATCGTCATCCGATTTATCGTCACATTGAAAGCATAATTACACGTAAAATTATGATGGAGCTTGAATGAATATTCGGATCACATTCGAGCTAGTGCTTATCCACCGCCTTTCCTTGGTGATATATCACGAATGGTGGCTCAATTTGTATTCACAAGGTTCAACTTGGAAAATATGAGATGAACGAATCGTAATAAATTGTGTTCCTCTACACATCACTCAATTATTACATCATCTTGGTATAGGCAACTACCTAGAGGAAACCATTCGCATGCTTTCCCTGTGTAGACTGTGATGAAAGGTGGATACTATTTCTATATTACATGATATTTAATTTTTTAATTCTTCTTTTGTGTTTTATTTAGTTTGGAGAGATCGCGAGCACTTTTAGTGGGCATCCACAACATTCAAAACGCTAATTTTGCAAACTGGGTCATGTTCGTCGAAAACGGAAATCCATCGAGTATCCTTCATGCTGGGGTGTCGGTTAGGTCAAGTTTAGAGCAAAATCGCTGAAATTCTGAAACCGACCAGTTCTTCCTTCCAAGATACCCGGTTTTTCTGACATACTGGAAGTTTCCTCAAACGTATCACTGAGTGCAGTTTAATGTACCTCAAATCTGTTGAGTAAATCAGATAACTATTGGTAATGGGGACCAAAGCAACAAGCTTCTATCAATCTTGAAGTACTGTAAACCATAGTCATCCCAGTAGGCTGGAGGCTGAGAGCACATGCATTTCTAGGAATGAAATTTGGCCCTCTGTGGTTGATGTAAACTCAGCTTGCGGCTTTTCATAGATAATAAAATTTTCTAGTACCCTTCCTCCTCGAACACCAGGAGTGCCCTACTTCGGTCTTGCAAACAGCGTTTGTAGTTGTCTTTACGAGGAAAGCCTTCCTACATTTTCAAAGAAATTTGGGACAGACCACCAACTCTCGGAGTCTCGTGGCATCTCATGAATGAAAACTGAAGTTGGTTCTGTTTATAAAGTTCGCCAAATGTGTGTGCTCGGACAATTAAAGTAAATCCGGACAAATGATCAGGCACAATGCGTAAAGACTGTATTTTAAGGTCGAACTGTAGACATAGTTGGTCACAAGAATTTTGTCGGTGTACGATATTATATAATATTATCGCACGTGACTCATTGACACAGGTACGTTTTCAGGTTTATTTCGATAGAATTGTGGTATTTGCTATACATCTTATCACTAAGAAATAAACCTTGCACAAATCGCGCACAAGTCATCAAAGATAACAAACACAAACACGGTGATCCATCACTCGGTGTTTAACTCAACACAGAACTCCGTTTGTGCTCCTAGGTGGTTCAATATTCCCCTTTCGATCTATGGTTTATGTGTGCATGTTTTTTTATTAAAACATGTTGTTAATAAAGCAAACTTATTCTGAAGTATTCAGGGGAGAAAAGCTTGCAACAGGCACGGTTGTGTCACAATTCAATCAGTTTTAGTTATTTTCAAGATTTATAATCAGGCGTCTTTCGTTTGTAAGACCATATCACACAGTTTGTTACAGCCTTTTTCATCAGTCATGAGTTTTTCAATGTGGGTCATTCTGTAATTACAACCCGAAATCTTTACTTTTCTCCGAAAAAAATGACATCAAAAACTGTAAACGGTAGTTAGAAAAGAGGCGTCCCATTTCTGGCCTAATTAATTTCGTTGTATCCTAGACTAAACTGCTTGTCAGTAATCTTTTTTGCCACACATGTAGCCTATTCCGCGGATTGTCTTTCTCACATTAGGCTTACGTTTCAACAGTAAAAGTTGTCCTTACTCTGTAGGATATGATAATTGAAGCCAAGTAATTATGGGAAGCGAGAACATCTAAGCTGTTCTTACGGTGCCTGCAAAGAGTTAATCTACAAATAAACCAGCGCCTCCCCCCCCCCTGGAAGAACCAAATAGTTATTTGGATCTCATTTCAGATTATTTGGTTGCATTTCCAGACGGTGATATCCTCCAACAACGGATATAAACTAACCTTAACTCTCTTACTACCTCTAAAACGAAACAAAACATCCCCCTGTAGTAAATGAGAATGTTGTATATTGGAAGTATCCCAAAGCCAATAATACAACAATGCGTAGATAAAGTATTTAATAGAAGTGACCATGGGCTTTTTAAAAGGCGGTTTTGTAGAAGCTGTGTCGTGAGATACAAACAGCTTGCAAAACGTGTAATGCGTTATATTGGTGCAATGGTCAAAGGCAAAACGGGCAAGGAAATTGTTATTGCAGGTTTGTGTTTCACTCTTTCTCCTCTTTTCTTTTGTAAACAGCGGACTATAATGCCAGTTGACGAATAGCACAGCGGTCTCACAGTTTGTCGACTGGTATCAAAATAAATAGCCCATAGTGCACTGCACTAACTTTAACCGAGTAATTGACAATGGAATTTCATTAATTTCCATCTATTGATGATAACCCGAACCGCTGAATGAAGGCATCTTTCAGACCACAGATGAAGTGAAAGATACACACTTTAGAGCGCACATAATATACAGCATGTAAAACCCCTTGACTTTAGGTTATAGGGATCTTAACCAGCTTCCGTGCCGTCACTCAAGTAGCAAATCTGATGTTGAAGCACTGTTACAGGCGTTCAGTGTTTTACCCTCTGTGCAGCAAACGCAAGCCAACCGGCATTTGTTTCGATGGTAAACTGATGTTTTCAATCGTACAAGCAGGATAAATTTATTGTATGTTCTAACCCCAAGAGGTAACCAACCAGCGAAAAATATTGATTTACCGGAATTTTTCCACCGCAAATATGCGGTCAAGGTCAAAACGTGCAAATATTAATAGTAGAAATAGAACATTGTTTGAAGGACCACTTTCTCACTCGGTTTCTCTCCTGTTGTGTGGTATCATTCAGGTCCGTTTACTTATTTCTAATCTTCATTTATGAAGTACGGTAGGTCCATATGAATGTGCAACTGACTCACTTTTCATAGGTTAAGTATGCCCCCAATTTAACTTTCTTAGGGCTCATTTTCACTATTCAAATGACTGCCCCAAATCCTGGCTAAACAAACGAAGTGCTTATTATCGTTTTATAATAATCTACCTACTATGCGTATCCAACTTAGATCAGTATTTTTTCTCTTATCACTTTGTCATTACGGATTGACTAAAGCCCACATGCAGTCGTGCCTCCTTTCAAATGTCAAGTAGCAAGTAGCTTGATAAACAAATCCGCAAGTCCATTACTTTCATTCAGGTGTTATTGGTCTTTCAAAAGGTTCAATTTTTCGTTCTGCGTTTTCCTTTTCAAAGTGGCATAGTAATAGCAAACTTGAAATGGTGTAGAAAAAATCAACGCATCGTTCTCCAGTCCTTGTTTACCCTTGCAGCTATACTTTCACCTCGCTTTTCACCTCACTGACAGGAAGTATAAATAACCCATTCGGTCATTGTCATCAACAGCTAACGAGTAGAGTAGTGAGGACGCTCAGTAAATGATCCGTGCTCGTTACACGCGACCTGATACACTACGTTTGAGGAATAACAAAGGTAGGCCAAGTCTCACTGTCAAATCGATTTTTGCACACGGGGACGGTTTATCGATCAACGAGCGTAAAATCTCCGGTAGACAAATAATCAGAATCCTAGTCCACGAAACCAGTGACTCATTCATTAAGTACTTTTGTTTGTTGACGCACAGATCAAATCAGTTCGAAAGCCCTTAATTTCTAATGGAGTGAAGTCACTCACACTTGCATGTGGCCTCAGTCAAACGGAACCGACTGTGAGAAGGCCTCTAAGCGATATCCATCTTCAGCACATTCTAAGCTATATTTCAGACCAATACGGTAACTAAATGTGCCATGACACTATGTACTTGACCTGATGATATATCTACACCTCTAATGCTTCCAACTAAAATTTAGGAGGGCCTTACCAATTCTTCAAGAGATTCCTCCATCCACCCCTCCTACATGTGTAATGGAGCTCCCAAGATAAACACAGGCAGCGACGAGTTCCGGCAGTCCACCACACAGAGAGAGTAGGTACAAACTCCTGTTAGTCTTGAGTGAGTGCTTTGCATTTTGAAGCTAGAGAATACAACCCTCATCGATTCACTTCAATCGACTTGGGAATATTAAACACAACCCGGTAGTTACATGATTGAGTTTGGACCAACGGGCTTAAGTTATTGTTTTCTGCAGCTACTGATAAAACCATTCACTGCGTTTTAGGCTTTTATCCCGCATTTCATTGGATAACTTATTGTTCTAAACCTGTCTGTTGATTAATTTTTGAACTAGTACTCGGTTAGCTAAAAGTTGAATTTTGACTTTTCGCTAAGCCTGGAAAGCTGTTTTGTGAGCGTTTCGTTGCCAGGTGATTTATCGACTTTCAGTACTGATGATTCCATCGTGAACTGGTGGGAAGTGCTCAAAATCCACTCGGTCCGGTATGGAACAGATGTAAATGAAGAATGATAACCGAATTACACTATTTTATTGGAACTATTTAAACCTAATAGAACACTTAGTAGAACAGAACAAAGAATACCCCGAAATACTGAGATGTAAGATGAGATACTTTGCAGCCCATTACAGTCATTATCTGTATGACATACAGACAATTTTTCAATGGTTTTGGGCAGAGCGGAATCCACGATCAGATACAAATCGGTTCTCTCCATTAACGGGTTTTGTCGTGCAGACTAATTACACTACTTTCTGAAGGCATTAACAAAACGCCAGACTTATAGGGTACTTACTTATCCTCTTATGTAAATCAGAACCTATGATGGACGGTAATGTAAACCGGATCTCTGTTCCT